ACTCAAAAGGTTGGGACACAGCAGGAAGCAGGCACCTCCTGGGATGCAGCAGAGGACCTCTATTCTAAAATAACACAAATGCCACCACAGTGTGCATCAGAGGCCCCTCACCCCCTACACATGGCCCAGAGTACTCAACTTGGAGAGTGAAGTCCAGGGCCAGAGGCCTAGGAAATGCCCATTTGGTTTAAGCTTCCCCTTCATGGCCCATGCACAGCTACTTCCCACCATGCCTACCTACATCTCCTCATCCCATTCCCTCCACACCAGGCAGGATGCCAATCTGCCCACAAGCCACTTCTCTCATGAAACAGTCCTCCCATGCCCACACTAGAGGGACAGGAAGACCTGCAGGGCTCACCGAGATCCACAGCCTTGCTCTGTACACAAGGACAGACTGTGAACAACCAGGATAATCAGAGTGAACGCATACTCATCAGGCCTGGGTAGAGAGTCCGCCTAGCTGTGTGGGAAAATAAAGATATTAGTCATCACTAACACAAGAGTCTCCCCCAACACACACCCACAGGAGAATGAAGGGAGGAATTCCTTGAGCTGGTCTCACCCTGGAGGTGGAGCACCTGTTAGGAGCACTCTACTGAGAGGACACGGCCTGAAGCATAATCTGATTAACACAAGGTAAGAAAAGAGACGACTCCTAAATCAGGGATGTGGAATCAAGGCAGATGTTTCACCTCAGCTCTCAGGCCATAAAACCCTTGGAGGAACCCAGAGTCTTATAAGCATTTGCTATTTCTACAAAGCCTTCCTCATACATGTGAGCCTCAGAAAAACCCCAGAAGGCAAAATTTATTTAATGCATTCTTTGGATGGAGCCTGTGCATAAGGGAACTTGACCTTGTGGAGTTCCAGCGACACATGTAGGACACTGTGTTAATAAAAACACAGCAATTACTGCTCTCTGCTCTTGCTGGGTGCCAGGGGCAAACAGAGTAATAAGTGTACCTTGCCCCCCATCCCAGAGAGGGCAGTCATATTTTTTGACAATGAAATATGGGTTTCTTATCCTAAAAGCTGCATCTTTATGGCTGTGGAGGGAAGGATTGAGTCCTTGATTCCAAGACTGGGCCTGAAGCTAGAAGAGTAAGGACGGAAGGGACACTGTCACTGATGGATCACTGCGTGGGATGCCAAGATAGTAGGATGACTTAGGCCCCACACTGGCTGACAGCCATCACCGTATTGGGTGCGCTTTGGCAACGGTAACATCCTAGAAAGGATGGACACAGGCTGCTCCAGAGAGCCACCTGGGAATGAAGCGTCCCAAGGTCTGGAAGGCTGGCCATCCTCCCGTTTTCCTGAGCTGCAAAGCCCCAAGGTTCTCATGCACCGCACCGGAAGGGCAGAGACAGCACTGCAGAAGCCTGTTAGGAAGTCTGCCAACTCCAACCCAGAAAGGAACTCAGATTTGTTTCCATTTGATTTACAAAAATAAGAAGAATTAGTTCTTGACATCAAGTGTCACTCAGCAATTATTCACCATTTCATTTAGTCCTCAACGCTACCCGGCATAATAGAAATTATTACTTCCACTCTCGGAGAGGTTCTCAATGATTTAGGGCATTTTAGAAACTGCCTGAAGTCAGTCTCAAACTCACAAGTGACAGAGACTTGAGTCAACAACCTGGAGACCCAGTAGCCAAGCTGGCTCCAGAGAACACAAGTCATCATTGTTAGCAAGTGACTGGAGACATCTCTTGTAGCTAGGCATGGTGCTCACACCTGGAATCTTAGAACTTGGGATGTGGAGGTAGAAGGACTGGGAATTTAAAGTCACCTTCAGCTACATAGTGAGACAAAACAGGGCTACATTAAGACCTTCCCTTTAAAAAAATTTAAAAAGACATCTTTTGTCTTTTCCACAAATTTCTCTAGAGACATCCTATAGATGCTTTGTAAGAAGGCTACCCAACAGTAAATGCTGTTATTGTTTGGCTCTAGACCCACCTGACCTTCTGTTGCTCCTTGGAAAGAGATTCTAGATTCTACAACTGTCTTGGGCAATCCAATAGCCACTAGACACATATGGCCACTGAGTTCTTGAAATGTAGCCTGTCCTAACTGAGATGGGCCATTAAGTATAAAATATATCAAGTATGTCAAAGCCTACGTAGGAAGAAGAATAACACATTTACTCTGTAATTGTATATTGATTAGACATTGAAGTTACAGTGGTTTAGACACACTGAGTTGGATAAAACACATTGTTAAAATCAATTACACTAGTTAATTTTTCTGTTTTCCAACATGGCTACTAACAAATTTAAAGTGGCTATAGTGCCTTATACCCATGGCTTGTACCAAACTCCAGTCATATCTTAGTTTCTACGGCTCCCTTCCCCTACACTGAGAACCATTTCTCCGATTTTCTGACTGCCTCTTGTAACTCAGCTCTGAGCCCAGCTTCAGCCCCAGCACTCAAAAGGTGCTTAGCAATTCTAAATTCTAGGCTCTACCTTGACCCCTATTCCTGTGGTCAGAGCATCTCTGATGGCCGGGTTTGTACATTTGTCCTCTACCAGAAGCCCCAAGTAAACTTCTCCAGGTCCCACTCCTACCTCATGCGAGCCCAATAATGGAGTCATTTCAACATATTGATCACTTATTATGGGGCCAGGTGCTCATTTAAGTGTTTTGCATACTCTATTCCTTTAACCTTCCTGACCCACCTGAGTAAGACCAAGTTTCCCTCATTTGGAGATAGTGTCTGAGATGCTTAAGTCCTGGACTATCCCCTCTGTGCTATCCCCCTTTGCCCCATTGGAGGCCATGACACCAATCTGACACAAGTTAGGGTCATTTGGGAAGCAGGAGCCTCAGATGAGAAAATGCTCCCAGAATATTAGCATTTAGGCAAAACTGTGGGGGCACTTTCTTAATCAGTGATTGATGTAGGTGGGGTCACCCCTGAGCTTGTGATCCTGACGTATATTAGAAAGCTTACTGGGCAAGCCGTGGGGAGCAAGCCATAAGCAGCACTCCTCCATGGCCTCTGTATCAACTCCAGTCTCCAGGTTCCTGCCTTGACTTCCTGCCCTGACTTCCCTGGATAGTGGACTATAAGCTATCACATGAGATAAGCCCTTTCTTCCCCAATTTGCTTTTGGCCATGTATTTTGTCAGAGAAGTGAAAACCCTAACGAATCTTGCCCTCTGAGGCTCTGACTTTGAAGCCTGTAACTTGAGAGATGTTAACAGTTCAATGTTCAAAGTCCTCCACAAACTCAAGTGTTTGAAGACCCAGTCCCCAGCTGCAGTGCTGTTGGTGAGGCTATAGAATCTTTGAGACATGAGGCCAGCTGATGTAGGGCCAGAGTGGCATGGCTTGGGGTTTATACCCTAGCTCTGGTTCCAGTTCAAGATCTCTGTTTCCTCATTCACACGAATGACAAGCAACTGTTGAGACTGTGATGCTATCCTGCCATAATGAACTATATCCCCTCAAGCTATGAGCCAAAATGAATCCTTCCTGTCTTAGGCTGTTTCTGTCAGTTGCTTGGTCTCAGTGACTGAAAAGTACCTAATACACTAAGTGCTTCGTAAACATTGGTTCATCAATATGATGCAGCTGTGATCCCTGGAAACACGCACTGAGAGAATCCTAGCCCATGCCCTGCAGGGCAGGACCCTTGCTGCCTCCCCCTCAGCCCCAACTTTTCTCCCATGAAACTCCTTTCTCAGGGTCAGCCCTCCCCAGTCCTCAGCCCAGTCTGAAATGTGTTGATCAGCTGCTCCACCAAGAGCAGGAATGTGGACCGGGACCATGATGCTCATGCTTAAGCCAGAACCGGAGAAGCTGCCTCCCCCACCCCAAGGCATAGCCCCCATTGCTTCAGTATTCAAGCTCTTTTTCTTTCCACTCCCTCCAGTAGGTGGGAGTCCAGTGGCACCCCCACCTGTGGCCTGTAGCCTATCCATTTCCTAGAGCTTGCTAAATTCCTTCACTGTATTCTTTCTGAGGATTTAAAGCTAGACCACCCAGGAGTCCTAATGCTCTGCTCCTCCCCAGCCCTTGGCTCGGGCCAAGACCTCAACCCTAGACTGAGCTAGATGGAATTTGCCACACCCTCTAGGCCTCCTGCTGTTGGCCATTGGCCTTTCTCCCATTGCCCCAGGTCATTTCCCAAGACTGCAAGCTATTTTTGCTTCTGTCTCAGCCTTCTTTGCTCCCCTTGGGGAAGGCTGTCAGAGTGTCACCCTGATGGTACATGTGGTACAGATCAGACAACCAGTAGTAGCAGTTCAGTCATGGCATTTCTAGCACTGTAGGCCCCTTATCCTTCTAGTTTCAAGAGGCCATGGCTTCTAGGTCCTAAGGATCTGCCTGATGTTTCCTGCCTTGGTTGAATCCTGGGATTAGTTGCTAGACCCAAAGAATCTGCTAGACCCTGCATGTCCTCTCTACACTTGACCTCCCCAGGCTTCCCCCACTTGCTTAGGCACCTTGAAGGAACACATGGGGATGGTCAAATTTTCTATTTTTCACAAGCAACACCAAACAGCACAAAAACTCTACACATCTGAACCAAACCTGAGGTGCTCCCAAGGTGCAAAGCCCCAGGTCTACTCCTCATGCATCACAAGTATATAAGAGGTCCTTCGCCCTTTGTTACCTCAATTTCTTTGCTGACATAACCTCCCTGTCTCCTGCAGCAGCTCATGACAATAGTGACTTCTTGATTTGTATGCCGAATCCCCCAAATAAGATTTGCTACAATGCATAACCATGGTGCCAGGCCTTCCCCCAAGGCATAGGAAGTGAACTCAGCTGATGCTAAATCTTCTGGTACCTGGCTTCAACAAGCACATGGGTGAAAACAAATAACTCTAAAGTGTCCATCTATCATCTTATCCGGCTTCATGTGCTTTGTTTGCACAGTTATCTTCTCGAGCCTGACACTGCATGCCGAATACAGGCTGATATATTCCCCTACCTGCCATATCATTGATAAAGGATAGCCCGGCTTCAGGTTCATTACCTGTCATTACACCATGTACATGTCTGGGGGCCAGAGCATCAATTCTTCTTGAGTCACTCCAGCAGTATAGCCTCCCAGTCGGAGCTCCAGGTTCAAGAATCTGTGGCTCACTGCTCAGCGCTGGGTAAGCCCCAAGTCATTCTCTCTTCCTCTTCTGCCAGGCCTAATCTTCAGGGATGGGGAGACTTGAGGTCCTGGTGCTTCAGAGGGGATCTGCAAGGAGAATAGAGGTCTCCATCAAAACTAGGCCAAGACATACAAGTCCAGGTGTGATCTGTTCTGGAGTTTTCTACCCAGCCTTTTAGTGTTCTTTATTATTAGATCTCACAGTGCCTGGTGGCTATAGCATGTAGGGTTCCCACTGACAGTGGTCTGATGACAGGCTCAGCACATGATGAGCGTGCGTACACGTACACACACACACACACATACACACACACACACACACACACACACACACACACACACCACTCCTGACTTCTTACTTGCACATACTTCATTCTATCTACTCGGAAGAACCCCTTTCAGTCAGGTGCTAGCCATCATTCTGGCTTCAATTCAGACCCACCAACTGGACCTCCAAGCTGTCCCAATGTTCTGGGACAGGAAGGAAATGGATGCTCTCACTCCGCCAATGAGAGAGGCAGAGAATACCACACTCCTCTGTTTGTCAAACCCTGGAGCAAGACTTTGGGTTGCTGGAGGCTGGGAGCTCCAGGAAGACCACCCTCCTATGGCCCATGGTGAATGTCTTCCTAGCCCTTTATCTCAAAGGAAGAGACAAGAAAAGAGATATACCACCACCTCCCTCCAAGCAAAGCAACAAGGACACAGACACTGGTCCCACTGAATCCTGACATTTCAGGGCCAAGACTATGGGTCATATTCTGCAAGGAGGAAACATAAGACCTCCAGCTGCTGCTGTGCCACCTGCTTTGGACACTGGGACCACACTGGCTGCAACCCCCTCCCATCAGGCCTGGTCTCCATCTTGCTGCCCACAGGGCTGAGATACACTCAGGGACCTCTTGGCCTCAGTGGACCAGTTGCTGAGAAGGAGCTGTGAATGGAAAACAGCCCAGGTGATGGACCCTTCAGAAAGAGGAAGCACCATGCGCAGGGTTCAGGTAGCCAAAACACCAAAGTGCACACCTTCTTTCCTCTGGCCCATATGGACTGCTGAAGCTAGAGGATGACAATGACTTACATGCCACACATACAACCACTGCACCCTGGAAATTGCTTTTGCATCCTGTTTGTAGTAGCTCTATGAAGAGTATTTCAAAGATGAGGAAACAGAAGCATAGAGAGGTTGGGATGGCTGCCAAACATCACATAGTAAGTTGGAGAAGGCCAAGGCTGGCCTTTCCACTTTTATTTGTCTTTTTTTTTTTCAGGAAGCATTCCTATGCTAGGTTAATTTCATCCCCAGAGGATGAGGTCTGAGTGAGAGTAAAGCAAGAGGCCACTTGTCTTGTTAGGGAGCAGGCAAGGCAGTCATCACGCCTTTGGTCTCTTCTCCAAAGAAAAGTCTAAGAAGGGTAAGTGAGAAGCAGGAAAATGGTTGGAGAGATAGTGAGGCAGCAGGAGCATCTCAGGCCCAGGGAGAAGTGGCCATGATCAAGTGCTACATAACTACCAGCCCCCAGCTACCTCCCCACAGCTCTGCACCTGAGGACCTTCTTCACCAGGCAGCAAGCAGCCTCTTTGGAAGGCAAGATGGGTACTATTATTCCCTTTGAAGGGTACATGTATGCTCCACATGCTCTCTTACATATGTGATCTATTCCTGAGAACTGAAGAGAAGGACAATCAATCCTACAGGATCCTGCCCATGTGAAGAAAGGGCCCTCACCCTGAACAATGACTTCTCAGCTTGATTATGAAGCAGATCTACTACTAGCACACTGGATTTTCATCTAGGTCAGCCATCCCTGGCCATGGCAGCCAGAGCTAGCCTGACTCTGGAGCAAGCAGCCAGGGCAGGTAGCAGATCCTGATGGAGGTAGGAAGATGATCCCAAACAACAATGGCCCCAAGTAGCTTGTGCAGCCCCTCATGCCTGCCTCCAGGCAGCAGAGGACCAGGCACAACACATAAACCACAGGGAAAAACAAAAATCAGCTCCTGGTATTAGCGGTACTTGTTAAGTGAGCCCCACTATGTGTACAGGTGCAGTGGGGGAAGGGAAGGAGCTGCCCTTAAAAATCAGGCCACTATCCTGGCCTGCTGGTAACACAGTCACCTGGATCATCTGGTGCTGGACTGACAGCAAACGGTAGAGCAGCCACATCTTTGCTGACCCGTGTGTGTGCGCGCACATGTGTGTGTGTGTGTGTGTGTGTGTGTGTGTGTGTGTGTGTGTGTGTGTGTGTGTGTGTGTGTGTGTGTCTGTGCAGGAACAGCATGTCCTGGCCCTCCTGTGGGGTGGGGCTGAAACATATTCACAGCAGATGGTGCTGTCACCCTCTCTCCAGGATTCTCATTCCTAATTATCTGTGCTGTCAGCCAAACAATTAACCCTCAAAGAAAAATTGCAATGTCCACCCCCAACCATATGAAAAGGCAATTTTCCCAAGGGCGAGAGATACCTAGGGCAGTCTTGTGCTCAGCTCCTGATCTCACCATCCTCTGGCCTTGGAAGTCTGTCTCTGGCTTTGAGGCAGCCTCCCCCACTTCCTCTGACCCTGAGATCGTTCCTGTAAAAGGAGGAGCCGGTCCCAAGGCCCTCCCTGAGCCACAGGGAGTTACCAGCCCACATTGCCCTTCATCTGAATTTGGGGTTTGCTTGGAGCAGAGGCTGAGCTTCTTTTTCTGCTCCTTCATCATTTATTCCATTGTGGCACATGTACCATGCCTCCTCAGTCTCCCTGACCCTCTTCCCCAGCAAGAATTTGAAGAGGCTGCTTTTCTATAGCCCCATTTCCTGAGAAATCTAAATGCATGCATCAAGGAGAATTCTGTCTAGTGCCTCCTACTGCCCCTCTCCTCTCCTCACAGGCAAAAGCTCCAGAAAGGGTCAGGGAGACTGAGGAGGCATGGTCCCTGGACAGAGCTGCAGAGGGCGGGGTGCTGTAATACACAAAGTCTCCCTAGCCCATCTCCCACTGCTGCACCTCTCAAGTCTCATGGCCACCACCCGGCAGGTGCCCATTAGACCGTAGAGTGAGTGCACCAGAATGCCTTCCCCCAACAGAACTGTCTAAAAGGAGAATGCGCACAGAACCAAGACGTGGTGTCAGTCAGTTAAGAGGGCTATTGTGTAAAGTCCCATCCTTGAGTCGACTTCACCCATCACCATGCTGTGGCATGAAGAGCAGAAGGTTCTACAGGAAGGCTCCTCAGGAATCTCAGGAAGTGCTTTGGGGATGACAGCTCCCCAGGTCACTTTTCATCAATGCCATCAGAGAGACCGAGGGCTCAGCCCTTCACAAAGAGAAGGAACAGGCTTGGCACATGTGACCTCAGTCTTGTTCCACAGACTAGGGCATGTGGAGCAAAAGAAAATGTCAAGACAGGGGCACCGTCTGGTCCACTGAAATTCAGATAGCCCCTCTGAGACAGGGGGATGCCCTAGGTACCTGGGGAAGGGGTGCAGAAAGTGGGTAGATGGTGGACCAGGAGCTGGACCTCCTTTCTCACCACCACTTGCCCTGCCCAAGCCTTGTGACAGCTTTCCTCCTGCTCCCTATGGTCCACTGTACCCCAGCACACACCCCTCTGTGCCTGAGGGGCACAGGTTCCCACAGCTCCTCCACACAAAGGGGCTGTGTTTATATTCATATAGGGAATTGCCCACTCAGAATGTGCTCGCAGGCAACACATGTGAGTGTGCCCCCTGCTCGGGGCCCATGTGGGACTGACGCCAAAGTCTGGCTGGAGACATTTCTAAATATGAGTTTGGCAGCAAGAGTCAGGTTCCCAGACCTCCTTGGCCCAGGAGACCCTGCCAGGATTCTCCAGGCGGTTTGAGAGACAGAGCTGGGGCAGGGGGATCAGGAGACAACCAGGCGGTGGGAAGCATGGCCCAAGCCCCTGGAAGCCCTGTGCCTTGTTAAGAGAAGAAAAAGGATTACCCAGAGCTCAGCGCCTGATCAATTGCCCACAACCCTTGCAGCGGGGATGAGAACGCCATTGCCTTCTCAACTGTGCATGGATTAAAAATACACAAATGGAATCTGTTTCCTACCCCTCTCCTCAACCCCCTGAAGCCTGGGATGCTTGTTAAAAATAGCCTTGCTGTGGCAGGGATCCTGAACAACCCAATGGCTGGCAGGAAAATGAAGGCACCATTGAAGAGGTCTCTGTTAAGTGGCTACCCTTGATAAGCGGGACAGGGAAAGTTCCAGAGGAAGGCTGCCTGTCTCAGGGGTCTAAGGATACACTCTGCATGGCTTGGACCTTTAATAGCAAGCAGACCTTTATTCTATGGCCCAGTGTGAGCTGCATCTTCCTGCCTAAGCTTTGGGCAGGATTGATGCTGAGTTAGCAAGCCAGCATCATGGTGCAGGCTGGCGAGGTAGACAGGCCACCAGAAACAAAGAAGCCAGCATCATCCAGGGAGAGATGAATCCAGGGCTTGACCTCAGCACAGACCTGAGTTCTCTGGGCCTGGTTGCTTGCTGTAAAAGGCAGCAGACAGATTTGATGCTAAGCTATTTCTTTTTCACTTCCTGATGTGCAAAACAGCTATCTGCCCCTTGTATCTTCACACAGTGAATGGCAAAGGAAATTGGCTTTGAGTGCATTGGGCAAGGGTAGGAGGGGCAGGAACCAGGGGTTAGTGCAGGAGGAGATGCTGTTCTAAGAGTACAGACCCACTTCCAGCCTTACTGATGAGGAGTACAAGTTTGGTACCTAAAGGCTTTCTGAGTTTGAATCCTGCCTGACTTGGGCTATCAGTAACTAACACACTCAAGTGAATTGCCTTTAGAATGGGTGCAAATTGGCCTCCTCATCCTGCCATTCAGCTGGAGCTCTGGGCCATATCTCATCTCAGGGTAGCTGAAAGTAGAGACTCTGGAATGGGCTTTGCATCCCAGCCCTACCAGCAATGAGCTGTGTGACCCTGAGTAAGCACGTTGACTTCTCTGTACTTTAGCTTCATCTATAAGGTGGAGGTGAAAGCAGCGAGGGGTTGTTGTGTTACTCAAGCCCACACTTCTGCCCTTAGCAGCCATCTTGGCTCCTAGTTGTCAATCTTGCATAGTCTA